CTAACCTCTTGAGACAGCCTATAAAGGGGCTACACATACCTCCTGCTGCCGTACACCGAGATAAGCTGAGGATGAATCTATTGCACTCGCTGCACGGTTTAAATATAGTAGCCCCCCCACCCCCCGTCTCCGCATACGCGCTCTTTATTACTGAGAGACTCATGGGTTCTTGGCAGGTGGTGATTTTCTGTGCATTCTTATGTGCTCTACATGCTGTTTGACTTATTTCAGCCATTTTGAAATGCCATTGGTATGAAAATGCTCATGAAAAGTGATCTAAACGACATAACTAGTGGCTCAGCATATAATTCCAACTGTTTTTATCCATTTATCTGTTAATTTTTGGCCATTTCTTTTCAAAATGTTTCTTCGAAGTTACAATTAAAACTGATTATTGGAGTACGTTTTACAAGGAAATACTATTTCACATTTAATTCAGTGTGCTACTTTGTTACTTTGTAATTGTTTGTGATATTTGCTAGAAGTTTCTGTAACACTTTATTTTACAATGTCCTTGTTACACGTTACATGTGCTTACTATAGTAAAACGGTAAATTATGCATAATTACATGCAATTAACCCTAAACAAAACCCTATTCTTCACCCTAAACCATTATTAAAGGAATAGTTCACCCTAAAATGATCACTGAAAATGTACTTGCCCTCAAGCCATCCAATATGTAGATGGGTTTGATTCTTCATTGGAGCAGATTTGGAGCAATTTAGCATTTTATTACTTGCTCCTTATGGTTGCTGTCAGAATGAGAGTCCAAACAACTGATAAAAAAACAATTGTTCAGAACTGTTTTAGACTGTGCATGATCTGTGCATATTTCTCTCCTGATTCAGACAAGGCATATTTTTTACTGGAGAAAGCAATATTATGGACAGGGGACCCGTATTTCATGGAAGCAATGCTTTGAAGTTAAAAATATCTTAATGATTAATTTGTTTATTGCACAAGACATTAATTGATGTACTGGAGTCATGTGGGATACTTGTGGATTATTGTGATGTTTTTATCTGCTGTTTGGACTCTCATTCACCGCAGTGGATCCATTGGTGAGCAAGTGATGTAATGCTAAATTTCTCCAAATCTGTTCTGAGGAACAAACAAACTCATCTACATATTGGATTGCCTAAAGATGGGCAACGATTCAGTAAATTTTCATTTTTTAGTGATCTATTCCCATAAGTACATGTTGTTAATTAACATTACACACAAACTACCCTGCCACAACCTTATTGCTTTATAACCGTAGAGTGTGAGCTTTCCATTTGGATCCAATTCTGACCGCTTGCTTGTGGTAGATGTAAGGGTTATCATGCTTCATGCTATGTGCAGTCAAAACACCATCTGGTAATCCTGAATATTCCTGAAGGGCCAGAGCTTAGAGAGCAGGTGGTTAGACAGTTATATGACTTTCCATTCTAAACAAATTCACACATATTTACATTCTCATCTTCCTTTTCCCGTGCATTCTGATCCATTCTCTCGGTTTCTTATTTTACTTGAGGCTAGATGGGTGCAGAGAGAGAGGAAGTGGAAGGATGGAATGAAAAAGGAGAGGAGCAGGCAGGGGAGAGAGAGAGCAAAAAGCAAACCAGAGGGAGAGAGAGAGAATGCGGGGGAGCACTGGGTGCTTCCTGCAGGGTTGCCGTGTAAACGCGGTCTGAATGACAATGGTGCACATCAGGGCCCCAGCACGACTCACGGCTCAGCCAGAAACACAGGAACACATAGCATGCTGTTACGTATACACGCACGCACGCATGCTGCACCGAATGCACACAAGATATATAAACATTGATTTTTTTTTTGTATTCATTATTTTTCACATGTGAACTGGTTATGATGCAAATTTCTAAAATGTTTTTGCTGAATGCTAGCAGTTAATAGTCACCTATGTACAGTGTGTGCTGCAATGGTGATTTCTTTCTCACTCACTCTCTCTACTCTGTGCTGTGTGTTACAAAACCTTTTGTCAAATTGTCTCCCCAAGCGAATGTATTAGGCCTTAATTAACCATGTCTCTCAACGCGGAGGCTCATCATCTTTGTTGCATTACACCAGGCGCTCCAGCAGATACGCTACAGACTGCGCATCCACGCCCCTTACCGACACTTATGCTCGCCCACTACCAGGACAACCACTCCACCTCCTCAGTGGGAATCCTCCCCTTTTATTGCATTATTATGGGCGGCTTGACACAAAAGCTCCCAGAACAAGTGCGCTGACTAATCATGCTGTACCTGCAACGCTTTATTTCTGATAGTGAGTTTGTTTTTTTGATTTCAGGACCATGGATAACGCAGTTTCAGTTCAGGGGGGATAGTGCGGTTTCAGCACCATGGACAGCGTTAGTTGATTTTCACTGAAAATATTGTGATTGCTTTCAAACAGAACATTCCCAAATTCAGTTCACAGCCCTTTAGTATGCCACCAGCTGTCTTCAGATGGAATTCAGACACGTTTTCTCAGCAAGTTTAGCTGGAGAGTAAACCCAGGGAATTAGCAACCAAAGGCATTTCAGAGGCTGGTGCCAGGAGGACAGATGGGCATGATATGAGCAGAGTGATTTTAGGACATACATTCTCTCCTGAGTGTCTTTTTAGGCTGACAAACTGTCTGTTCAGGGAGAGAGAGAGCATCACATTGCACTGTTATGTAAAAACGTGTTATTGGTTAACTGTACTGTAATTTATATTGACATATTCGAAAAAAAAATCATATTGTATTTTAAAAGACATATCATGCATTTCATTTTACTTCTAAACATTGTTAAAAAAATTACCTAATAAAAAATGTTAAGATTATGTATTTATAACATTTATAATAACTTAAAAGTAAATTAAGGGACATTCTCAGAATTCCATGTGAACCATCGCATTTGTTTAAATTTGATTTAAGAAGAAACCTGTTTATTTCTTTTATTAGTTGTATACACTACTAGAGTTCAAAAGTTTGGGGTCGATTATATTTTTAATGACTTTGAAAGAAGTCTCTTATGCTCATCAATGCTGCATTTATTTCATGAAAAATACAGAAAAACAGTAATATTGTGATACATTATTACAATTTACAATAACTATTTTTATTTTAATATATTATAAAATAAAAATAATTTGTTCCTGTGATGGAACAGTTGATTTTTCAGCAGCCATTACTCCAGTCTTCAGTGTCACATGATCCTTCAGAAATCATTCCAATATGCTGATCTGGTGCTCAAGATAATGTATTTTTATTGAAGCCATGATACATTTTTCAGGATTTTTTGATGAATAGAAAGTTAACATAATAAAAGTTTACAATTTACAATATATAGCTTATTTATTTGAAATATTTTGTGACAATGCAAAAATATGAAGATGATTCCTCCAAAACATTTGTATGTTAGTGTCATACATTTATAATGACCTACAGAAAAATATTTTTTCTTACCATTTATTTATTTAGCCGTAAATGTAACACATTTTTAGTGTATAATAGCGATTAATTATAGTAACATTTAATATGTGTAACAAGGACACTGAAAAGTCCCCTCAAATCCATACTTGGTCAACAAGTACACACTCCCTCTTCCGGCAAGGTGTATGACTCAGACACAATACGTATTGAGAGATATGAATCCATCCGTCGCCTTTGGAAAATATCTCGTCTCACACAGTTTGCGAGAAGAAGCAAAATGGCACACAGTGCTCGTTTGAGTCTTGTCTTGGCCAAAAGGAGGAGTGTGCTGGAGGATAAGCGAATCGCTACGGGGACGCGCGTCATGTGCTGCAAGGCTTGAGCACGAGCGTTAAATTGATCAGATGCTCTAAACCCGCCAGCTGATCTGAGGAGGATTGCGCTCGAGACCCCGCGTCTCCGTTTCGTTTTCTCCGACAAAAATTAAACTTTTAAAGCCGAAATAATCTCTCGTCGTCCACTGAGGCGACAGAAAAAAACCGAAGCGGAGCATTTTGGGGTACTTCAGGATATGGGTGCCTCTTGGTTCTTCTCGGTTACCACAGAAGATGCGAGCTCGAGCTTCAATCCACGCGCTCCGGCGCCTCTCCAAAACTGATGATGCTCCTTTCAACGACCACCGTCGGATTTTTCGCGTCTTGGATTTGTCTACGAGTTCTGGAGTATAGGTGATAATTGTTTTAGTGAGGAATTGAGGGAGAAACCGCGAGAGATCATTATATCTTGACATGGTGTTTTTTGTTTTCACAGAGCGCGCTCACGCCCACCGTATTGGACCGATATGGCTGTAAAAAAGCAAATAAACTTAAATTACTAAAATCAACAAATGTCACCGAGGTGTGGATTTTTTGGGGAAGCCCCGTCGTCTGCATTTGCGAGAGTAATTCGAGAGTTTGGCGGAGGGAAGGCTGAATATTGCCATAGTAGCCTGTACCAAACATTGCGGATACCACAAAAATAAATTAATTATTAAAAGGTTTTCTCCATTTTGCTATTCTATTTCTGTCTTGTGGATGTGAAAAAAAATAGAATGCAACTCCTGAGAAAGACACATTAGACCTGATGTAGTTGATGCCAATTCACATGTAATGTATTAACGCAATTATGCTAAAAGGATCTGTATGTACACCTTACAAATGGCAAGACGACCCGCACCGAGCTGTTGAGACGGGAAATACTTCTTAAAATGTGGATCCCACCCTCCTGAGGAAGATAATCCGTCGACATTTTATCTCTTTATGTTTGACTATTTGTTGAGCTGACTGCACAATTGAAAGGACACACTCCATCTATCCATCAATCAATCTCATTATCTGAGTCCTTTTTTGGCACTGACACACTCAAACACACACCCCCCCCATCCACTGATCTTGTTTGGTGCTTTATGATGGACATTTCTTAGCCATGAAGATCAGATCTGAATGTCTGTGTGCTCTGTGCTGAGGCGGATGGGGTGTAATGTGGTGTTGTCACCCTGAGACTTCACCCCCTTCTCGGCTGCTTCGTAACGATTGGCGTTTGGTGTCTACAGAATGGCTCGGTTCGGAGACGAAGTGCCGGGCAGGTATGGCGGTGGGGGCTCCGGTCAGGGGGGACCCGGCCGCGGCGGCAGCAGGCAGGGCGGCCCGCCAGGGCCCCAAAGGATGTATAAGCAATCGATGGCCCAGAGAGCCCGGACCATGGCCCTCTATAACCCGATCCCGGTCCGACAGAACTGCCTGACGGTCAACCGCTCTCTGTTTCTCTTCAGTGAAGACAACGTAGTGAGAAAATACGCCAAAAAGATCACCGAATGGCCATATCCTTTACTAAATTCAGACCTGAGGGCCCCTGGGAACAGGTACAGATCTGTAATATGTTATATGCTGGTGGTGGGTCTTTCAATGACCCCTGCTTCCTCATTCCTTATAGACATCTCCGTAATGTAAGTTGTTAATTATGCATTTAAATAATTATGAATAATTACAAGGCATGTTAAGATTGTTATTCAATAGCTATTTAGTTGTTTATCAATAGTTTTAGTTCATTTCACAGCTCCAGCTTTCTCTATATAAATTCCAAAAAGTACCATACACTCTTAAAAATAAAGCAGCGATGGTTCAATGAAGAACATCCATGGAACCTTTCAAATGCAAAGGTTCTTTATATTGAAAAAGGTTCTTTAGATTATTAAAATTTTCTTTACACAATGGTACATAATGGAACCTTTCAATAAAAGGTTCTTTGAGGAATCGAAAATAGTTTTTCTATGGCATAGCTACGAAAACCCCTTTTTGGAACCTTTATTTTTAAAAGTATTACCCTTTGACTTAGATATTAAGACAAATACCATTTTAATACCATTGTATTCTTTGAAATACCTTAAAGTAGCATGTAAATACCAATATAAAGGAATCATTCAGTATCACAGTACATATCAAAAAATGTAATTAGAGAATTCCTATTATATTGTAGAGATTGTACCCCACCCTTTTCCAAGATTTCTATAAATCTCGTGTACCATGAGTTTAAAGTACCATGGTACTACTCTAGTATTGTACACAATAGAGAGGGTGGTGGTTGCCAGGGTGGGCTAGGCTCTTCCCCCCAGAGGGCCTGATGTGCATGTGTTTTCATATACATGTGTAAGCATGTGTTACGTGTATAGGTCTGTGTTCAGAGGCCTGAGGCTGCGTGGGTGTGCATGGTTTCCCGCTGGTCGGGATTGGCGGAGTGCGTGAGTGACTGTTTGAGTGCTTGTGTGAGTGTGGAGGGGGGCTGCTGATGTCAGCATATGAGCTTTAGCGGAGCCTTGCACTGTGGAGTGGAGCAAAGCAGGAGGAACAAGGAGAGAAATGAAGGATGGAGGCTTAGAGAAAGTCTTCTGAACCCAAAACTCAGTTGCTTTTTAATTCTGTATGTACACTGTTGAGTGAACCGCACTGAGTAGTGATTTGGTCAGAATTGAGTGTTACATGAAAATAGATAGAAGTGAATTGTGAAAGATTATAATGTGCATAAAAAAACATGTATTTTGAAGTCAGTAAGAAATTTTGAACTATTTGAAAAATAGTTATAGTTTACCTAAAAATGAAAAATCTGTCATTATTCACTTACATTTATTTCATTCCAAACCTGTATGACTTACTTTCTTCCACAGAACACAAATGTTTGGATCCCACTGACTTTCGCTGTAAAAAAAAACTGACTTTCGCTGTTTTCACTGGGGGAAAAAAAACATTGTTTCAAAATATTATTTTGTGTTTCCCAGAGGAAACTCATACAGGTTTAAAATGACAGGTTGATTAAATTCTCACAGAATGTTTTATCTTTTGGATAAACTATCTCTTTAATATTTTCTCATGTTTATTGCTGATTGTCATTTACCAAATTCGTTATATAGTTGCTTGCAGACATAGGTGGCGGTTTATGTTTCTGTGGGTGAGTGCCCACCCTCCTTATTTATTTATTTATTTAATGATTGATTGATTGATTGGTTAAAATGAATAGAAATATCTTGTTTTTTCATTCGGCGCCTATGCTTGCAGAAGACATTTAGCAAGAAATGTCTCATTGGAATAACCTGAAGGCCCACTAAAGGATGCAGTAGTAGAGCAGAATTCCTTTCACAATGAAACTGCAACTTTTGGAATATCGAAGCACTACACCAAGACGATTCCTCTTCCCTGTGCATTCACTTATGCAGAAAGATCACTGTAATGCAATAGCAACATTTAGAGACTTTAAATCTGTTCTTCTATCGTGATTGGCAGACTGCCATGTGTTAAGTTCTCTGTAATGTTAGGTGTACTGTTACAGAGCTAGAGTACTAATACTAATGTATACTCCATTTCTTGTAGAGTTGTGATATGTAACTTGCCGTTGAGTTTAAAAAGCCCTTATAGAAGTTATTCAGGACCTGAGATCACAGTAATGCCCCGTCACCATTTGGATTTCGTCAGCAGCAGAACTTTTCTGTTGGTCAGTCTCCTTAGCTCAATTTGTTGGCTTGCTGTTTATAAGTTCCTTTCCCATCAGAGTGCTAATGGTTTGGTAGAACAGTGCTGTGGTAGAGGTGTTAGACTGTTTTAAAAATACTCTGTCGGAATGATGAGTTTATAAGGTCTTTGCTTGTATGAGTGCCAGTAAAAAAAAATCCTTCATACTCTCATGCTCCTACGCCTCCCCTTTCCTTTTGCCATCTCTCTGTCTCTCTCTCTGATTCTGTCAGACCATCTGCTCGTTCTCTCTGTTGTCTGTATTTTGGTGGTGCTTCCTGGGGCTCTGTTGGACTCACTGGGCATGGGCATGTCAGAGGAAACGGTAAAAGAACGGAAAAGAGTGTTTTGGAGAGGTACACTCATTTTTGTCCCTTTGGACGTGTGTGTTTGCACGTGAATGTGTGCATGCATTTGTGATGCAAGTGAAACAGATTTGTAGCTATTCGGCCAAAGATAGTATTGTAGAGGCCACGCTCATGGTCTTATTAAGATCATGTTTTTTTTTAATGACATTTAAAAATCAGTTCGATAATCTCTGTGGGTTATAACTCACCCCAAAATCAAAAGATGAATATAATAATGTTAAGAAAATTAAGCTTGTTTTAGGACTATTAGAATTATTATGTTATTATTATTATTTTTTTTAATGAAAATTAAGCACATTTCCTCTCGAATTATCCCTTTCGTAATGCAAAAAAAACCTTATTCTTAATACAGTAATGCTGAAAAATATTTATTTATAGATACATTTAATATACACTACCATCCAAAAAGTTTGGGGGGTCATTGGGGTCATTAAGATTTTTTCTTTTTTCAAGAAATTATCTTTTATTCCGCAAGGACACATTAAATTGCTCAAAAGTGACAGTAAAGACATTTTTAAGGTTACAAAACAGTTCTATTTCAAATAAACGCTGTTCTTTTGAACTTTCTATTTATCAAACAATTCTGAAAAATAAATGTATTACTGTTTCCACAAAAATAAAAAATCACCACTGTTTCTGACATTGATAATATATTTTCTTTTATAATTAACCTTTTTTCTTTTGATTTCAGGGTGAAATGTAATCTAGACATGTTTTCGTGACATTCACCCTTTGACCTTTTAATTCATTACCTTATGTTAGTGGTCATGTCTGTAATCTGTTCTTGCACGGATGGAGGTAGTGACGTGTTTTAACAGAAGAACAGGGGTTTGTAAATACCTCGGCTGGTTTCACACTGTGGCCTCCTGTCCAAGTTGAATGGACATTGTGCATCGCCGGTAACATGCAGTGGATGGATCATTGCTGAGTGAGTGGAGACTTGGTAGGACGGCACAGCCTGTGGCATCAAACCCACAAACACATGCACATGGACTATGGCAGCTAAAACAGTGACACCTGTTCTGTAGGATCAGTCTCCTTGGGAGACCAAAGGAAAAAGGAACCAGGCCAGAACTCAGCACCAGCCTATGGCATCACATGCACAGACCATGTGGGACAGTCACGCTCCAGTGTGCAATCATACAGACACACAAGAATCAGATACACATACACACACACACACACACACTCGCACATCCACACGCACGCCAGATACCAGATACTAAATCCATTGCTTTTCTCTGGCTAGAGAACACAATCTGGCACTCTGCTGCAGTGCAGACTTGAAGGGATACAAGATAGTTTGAGCAGAAGAAGCGTCTAATGGTCTGTGTGTGTATGTGTGCATCTGAGTGTTACTCAAAAGAGGAATACATCACAACATACTTCACAATGACGGTGGTGATTGTGTAACGCTCTGAGATACACACATACACACTTCCTCTCTTTCTCTCTTCTTAGTTCTGTCACACACTCCTACACATATTCATATTGAAATGCTCTTTTTTTGCTTCTCAGTTGGACATTTCCTTCCTTATTGCCATAACCTTTAGGTACCCTATGCTGTTTAAAGGTCTTTTTTATGAATACCAAATTATGTTTTTTTTTTATTATTATTATTAATTTTGTTGTCCTTCTGATCATGTTGCCCCTCTTTTAGGAGGAAGCCAGTTCAAGAAAGCTTTGGGGTCATAACCTTTTTGCAGTTGTTATATTGTGAGAGCTCCCAAAATGCTTTGCTAAACCACATTAAGACTCCTGGTTGGCCCCAGGTAACAACTGATTTGATCTCAGTAGATTTAAGACTTATATCAAATTTAGGATTTGATATAAGAGTTTAATTGTGCTATTAGTGGCCATTGGCAAAATCTCTAGAGATGCTTTATATACAAGTACCATACTGGGCAATATTAGAAATTTGGGGTATTTACATATAATTTCTCCTATTTTAAGATTAAGATTTAAATGACCTTTGCCGTCATCTGACGCTCATGAAAACTGAATATTTAAATGTAATCTTTAGTGAATCTCAAAATTAATATTCTTTTTTTTCTGCTGTACATTACAATGTAGTGTATTATTTTTAATATAATAATATATAATAAAGTAATATTGGTTATTTATCAGTTATATTCTTGTCTTGACCGGCATGTTATATACACTACCATTGGCCACTTTTACAGTGTCACAAAAGATTTTATTTCAAATAAAGGTTGTTCTTTTGAACTTTATATTCACCAAAGAATGATGAAAACAATTTATTCAAGAGATTCAAGAGTTTTATTGTCATATGGAAACACTCTGTTATTTAATTAAATTCAGTTCTTACTCTGAGAATCCTCTAGCAGCCTGGACATGAATATTAGGACAAAAACCACATGTACTCAATACAAAATATACACAATTATGTATTAATGCAGTGTGTGCATATATAAGTGTGAATGTGCATTGTA